TGGAGTTCTAGAAGTCCAAATGAGCTAAATGTTTTACACAAGAAAGCTGAGACAATTGCCTACAACTTTCATGTTTGCAACTGGCTCCAATTTTGACGTTATCAATGACGTTTTGGGCAGACAAGAGAAGATAAAGATTGTCACCAAGTCAAAAGTTGGCCACCCACTTATCAATTAGTCATCAAATCAATAGTTCCTAATTTTGGCCTATAAAAGGAGGCATTTGCCATGCATTTAGGCATCTTGGTTTCCAGATCAAGATCATGCTCTTCCTTTCTCTCTTTGTATTTTTTGTAATGTTTATGCTTTGCTTTCATTAATATTAAGTTTATGCCTTTCATTTCCTTTCCTTTACTTAGTTAACTTTTATGTTCTTATTTTGTTTATCTATTTTGCTTTCTTTCATTATGTCTAGCTAAGTTAATTATGTCAAGGTGAAAAGGTTACACTAATGGTGTAAGAATAAGTATAATGTAAACTTAATATGGACTTTAATGTTTGATACTAACATGTTTTATATTTGTTATCTTGTTCACTCTTTAATACTTTGCTTGTTAAATGACTAATCTTGATTTATGTTGTATAACACTTGGTACAACAAATGCTTGGCACTTTCATAGCCCATAATGTATGGTATAACCGACACCTGAGCTATGAAAGGAACTTGATTTGTTGTTAACATAAGTTATAATCATGAATGCTTGACGAGATTTACAAGTATTAGCATTAATTGAATAAGATGACTAATGTAATCATGTTAACAATATATAATCTGATTGGAACCTCCTTTGTGTGTGGTTTCCAATTCAATAATAAGAGTTTATACTATACTTGTTTGATATACCATTAGTGGAACCTCTAACCTTGACATTTGTTATTATCATTGTTTAATCGTTACATTAATATTCCATCTCAAAGTTCTCATCTTCTTCTTCTTCTTCTCCTTCTTTTTCTTTATTATTATTATTATTATTATTATTATTATTATTATTATTAGTACTACTACTACTACTACTACTACTACTACTACTACTACTACTACTACTACTACTACTACTACTACTACTACTACTACTACTACTACTACTACTACTACTACTACTACTACTACTACTACTACTACTACTACTACTACTACTACTACTACTCTCGTATTGTTACCACTTAATTCTGCTCATATACTTATTTAACATGTATTTTTAAACCTTAATTTACACACACACACTTTAACATATGATTGTGGGTTGCATATTGGATTGGATTATTACATTATTTATGTTCTTAAAGGTAACAACTAAGGGAAAGGGATAATATATAATCAAAAAAATACAAAAACACAAACAAAAAAAAGAAAAAATAGAAAAAAAATGATGATAATAAAAATGTAGATAAGTTTGGTTTCGTAGCCTCCATAACCTAAGCAATTAAGCCCAAAGGGGTGTTTTAACACATAATACCCTAAAGTCAACTGACTTGGGAGCTATTGGCCCAACGTCTGTTACATGGGTTAAGGAGAAAAGCTTGAGGGAATCAAACATTGCACTATCTATATATCAGTATCTGCGACCCGAGTTACTAAACTCATAAGGGTGTCTCAACACCTAATGCCCTAAGACCAACTGGTCTGGGAGTCATTAGCCAAAAGCTTGTTACATGGGTTAAAGATGCATTGTGTTTTAAGTTACATGTATATATATTTAAAAAAACAAAAAAGAAAAAAAATCACAACCCAAGAAAGTTAACCTTAAACATTAGAACAAGAATTTTATTTTCTTCCAAGTAAACACCCATAACTATATGTTGATGTATTGAGCACAAAAAAAAGGTTTATTAATATATTGTTTAAGAGGTATTGAGCAGATATATAAATTTAATGAAAGTTTGTTTATCTGGATAGATTAATGGAAGTTGAATGATGAATACCTTGCTTTGTGGAATTTACAAATTGTTTTTTTTATTTTAACACTTTGATTACTAGGAACAAGTAATAAGCTAGTTGGGGGGTGTGATTACTACTTAAAAGTGCATTTTTTATCAAGGTTTTATATCATCATTTTGCACTTGAAGTATTAATAACTCCTTAACTAAAGCATGTTTTATAATAACATATCTAATAATATAAGATACCTTTAATTTATGGTAAATATTTATTTTAAATGCAAGCCTATCACATAAATGAAACGATTGATTGATGAATTTAAGAACTGAAATTGAAAGGACAAAGAGATGGTCAAACTTGGAAAAGAGATGTCAGTGCAGTCCAAACCGAAACACTATTCGGTAATTGGATCATATCTGGAGTTGTAGATCTCATATTTAAGTCTACTTTATATGGATGGAAAGGTAAGACATAGACCTACAACTTTCATATAGTGTCCAAGATTTAAAAAGGTCATTTTTAAGTCCAAATTGTAGCAACAAAAAAAAAGTTTGAATCTGTCCTCCAGCCCAAGCACTATTCAGTGTGCAGCCCATAGCTGGAGTTCTAGAAGTCCAAATCACCTTAATTGTTTACATAAGAAAGCTGAGATAATTTTCTACAACTTTCATGTTTTTAAATAGTTCTAATTTTGACGTTTTGGGCAGACAATAGAAGATAAGGATTGTCACCAAGTCAAGAGTTGGTCACCCACTCATCAATTACTCATCAAATCAATAATTCACAATTTTGCCCTATAAAAGGAGGCATTTACCATGCATTTAGGCATCTTAGTTTCCAGATCAAGATCATGCTCTTGCTTTCTATCTTTGTATTTTTTGTAATGTTTATGCATTGCTTTCATTAATATCAAGTTAATACCTTTCATTTCCTTTCATTTACTTAGTTAACTTTTATCTTATTTATGTTCTAATTTTGTTTATTTATTTTTCTTTCTTTTATTATGTTTAACTAAGTTTATTATGTCAAGGTGAAAAGGTTACACTAATGGTGTAAAAATAAGTATAATGTAAACTTAATATGGACTTTAATGTTTGATACTAACATGTTTTGTATTTGTTATCTTGTTCACTCTTTAATACTTTGCTTGTTAAATGACTAGTCTAGATTTATATTGTATAACAATTGGCACAACAAATACTTGGCACTCTCATAGCCCATACTGTATGGTATAACCGACACCTGAGCTATGAAAGGAACTTGATTTGTTGTTAACATAAGTTATAATCATGAATGTCTGACGAGATTTACAAGTATTAGCATTAATCGAATAAGATAACTAATGTGATCATATTAACAATTTATAATCTGATTGGAACATCCTTTATGTGTGATTTCCAATTAAATAATAAGAGTTTATACTATACTTGTTTGACATACCATTTATTGAACCTCTAACCTTGACATTTGTTATTATCATTATTTAGTCCATGTGTTAATCTTCCATCTCAAAGTTCTCATCAACTTCTTCTTGTTCTTCTTCTTCTATTATTATTATTATTATTATTACTACTACTACTACTATTATTATTACTATTACTACAACTATTATTATAATTATTGTTGTTGTTATTATTATTATTGTTATTGTTACTATTGTTGTTTTTTATAATTGTTATTTATAATTTGTACAATTAACCTCTCTATGGTTCGACCCCGGTCTTGTCGAGTTATTTATTACTTTGACACTCCTGCACTTGGGAGAAGACATCAATCTTTTGGTCGTGTCAAGCAACAACAAAGAAGTTTGAATCTGTCCCGCAGCCCAAACACTGTTCAGTGTTTAGCTCATATCTGGAGTTATAGAAGTCCAAATCACCTCAATTTTTTTACCTGAAACGCTGAGACAATTTTCTACAACTTTTATTTTTTCAAATGGTTCCAATTCTAACGTTATTAATGATATTTTGGGTAGACAAGAGAAGATTAGAATTGTCACCAAGTCAAAAGTTGGCCACCCACTCATCAATTAGTCATCAAATCAATAGTTCTCAATTTTAGCTTATAAAAGGAGGCATTTTCCATGCATTTAGGCATCTTGGTTTCCAGATCATGCTTTTGCTTTCTCTCTTTGTATTTATTTTTTAATGCTTAAGTTTTGATTTCATTAATATCTTGTTTATATCTTTCATTTTCTTTCCTTTACTTAGTTAACTTTTATCTTATTTATATTCTTATCTTGTTTATTTATGTTTTTCTCTTTCATTATATTTAGCTAAGTTTATTATGTTAAGGTGAAAAGGTTACACTAATAATGTAAGAATAAGTATAGTGTAAACTTAACATGGACTTTAATGTTTAATAATAACATGTTTTATATTTGTTATCTTATTCACTCTTTAATACTTTGCTTGTTAAATGACTAATCTAGATTTATATTGTATAACACTTGGTAAAACAAATACTTGGTACTTTCATAGCCTATACTGTATGGTATAACCAACACCTATGCTATGAAAAGAACTTGATTTGTTGTTAACATAAGTTATAATCATGAATGTCTAACAATATTTACAAGTATTAGCATTATTTGAATAAGATAACTAATGTAATCATGTTAACAATTTATAATATGATTGGAACCTCATATGTGTGTGGTTTACAATTAAATAATAAGTGTTTATATTATACTTGTTTGACATATTATTAGCGGAACCTATAACCTTGATATTTATTGTTATCATTGTCTAATTCTTACATTGATCTTTCATCTTAAAGTTCTCATCAACTTCTTCTTCTTCTTCTTCTTCTTCTTCTATTACTATTATTATTATTATTCTTGTTATTGTTATATTCTTATTATCTATAATTTATATAATTAACATCTCTATAATTTGACCTTAATCTTATTAAATTATTTATTACTTCAACATTTTTATATTTAAAAAAAATATTAATTTTTTTTTATCATGTCAGTTACACTGCTGAGGTCAACGATTCAACACCACAGTCAATCTAGCGGTACAGCAAGTCTAGAGGACAGCAACGTTCCACTGCTGAGGTAAACGATTTAACACCACAGTCAGTCTACCAGCACAGCAATGTTCCACAACTGAGGTAAACGCTCCTGTTGATGACATTCACAAGGAAAATTCATTGATACTCAACACTACAGGGAACTAAAGTGAGGTTTTTTCACTATTAGTCTAAAGTATTTTCCAAACTAGCACAGTTAGAAAAATATTTCTCAGTAAGCATAATCTAAGTAGTACATGCGTGATCTACGGTTTGTCGCAACATATACTCTTGATCTTGCTGTATCAGCACATGTAATGCAATCATCAACCTTGTCTCTTCACTAACAGAAGTGCCAGTGATTGTCATCGTTGCTGTGTGGTGGCCCATAGGCACCAATAAGTGTATGCACAGCGCTGCATCAATCAATCGATCGATCATTTGCTATCGACACTACCGAATAATGACTTGCCACCACACTGGCTTTTTCTCTGTTTTTCCCGGACATTCTTCTGTACATGTTATATCCATTAAAAAGGAAAAGAAAAGACAGAAGTATAAAATCGACTCCATGGTTTGACTCTGTTCACTGAGATCTATACACCCAAGTTACAAGCTGAAGTATGTGCAGAATATTTACAAGACTAAAATCTTCTATTTACTAAAAATATCATACATCTGTAAAATCAATCATAAGCCCAGTGTGAAGAATTAATCAGTCCCCTAAGCTCCACAATATACGATGCTCCTACCCCCTCCATTCTAAAAGAAACAGCCGCAGAACATTACCCACACAATTCACCACGACAGTCCCATCCATAACCATAATATTCCTTTTCATTAAAAATTGCTATCATTATTTAGTTATCTCAGTCAAGAGGCTGCTAATAAACACAATTTTGAGCCGAGTGGAGCCGAGCTTATCCTTCAATGAAAGTGGATGGCTGCATTGCTAGTCTCATTCCCCACTCTCTTAACTCTAGGTAGCGAGCATTTATGCATGACCCCATAAATCTGAAACCCAAAAATTTGATTGTCCTACAACTAAAAGCTCTATCAGCTTCAAGTGCCTCTCCACTACGAATCCCCAAAATTCCACAAGGCTTACACCCCAAAAAGCAGGTCACAACAGGCCAGCGATGATCACCACGATCCAATTCTCAATCATTTCCCCATACCTCTCAAGCTCAAACACCCCCCTTCCCCCACAAATGACCATGCAAAAATAAGCACTCTCTAAATAATATACAGATCATCAGCTTCAAAACAAGATCATGCTTCTGGGGCACAATCTCCTAGATCTATTGGTTGTTTTGGTGCTTCAATTCTGAGGTATGAACAGATAATTTCCTAAATATAAGGTGCTTGTTCATGGGACTTATTTTGAAATTGTCAGTCGATACAGTTCTCTTGTATTGAGAACCCACCTATAATCACACAACTTCATGACTTCATCAACATCGTAGAAGCCATGTGAAAGGAACACAGTAAACACTAAAACTAAGAAATCAGCATCTATACAGCTTCCTTCATGTTGGTTGAGCCACTCGAAACATCAAAACTAGGCGCAATTTTGGGGAGATTATTTTATGTGAGCAAAATGGAATAGTAATGTAATCTACATCATACACATATGATCCTTATGGAGATGTGTCCTTGCCCTTAACAAGCTGTAAAGAAATAGATAGCTTGCCTAACTTTGGGTATCAGTTACTAGTGCAATTTATCTGAACACTGCATATTAGATGCCCAAGCCTCTCCCTCTACTTAACCATGTTTAGCATAGTGCTGCATTTGATCAGAAATTACTCTAATTAGAACCTAACATCATCAATGTGTTTATGCTGCATTTGCTCTATGAATATGTTGGGAAAGAAGGTCGATGGTTTAAGGTACACTGATAAGAGCTTAAGAGTTTTTCAAAAGATAGAGAATGATAAAACAAGCTCATTCCAGTAAGAATCGGATGCAAAAGTTGAGCAAATCCATATAAATAGGAAAATGTTCTGAGATTTGACTAATGCTTCATAGTATATTATAGAGGCAGTAATTTATGTAAATACATGCTTTACTTGTCCTCAAGCTGTTGCAGTTACGATTTTTAAGTTCACTTCTCTCTTGAGATCTAATTCCTTTATGACCCCCTTCTTATCTGGAAGACAGAAGTTCTACCATCGCATTATGACAGCTTTTTACTCAAATACGTGACATGTGCCCAGCTCACACACAATATTGCATACTAACTCTTCAAGCAATTGTAATGTTTTCTAGGGCACAGTCGCCCAGAGTTGTTTCTCTCTTTTTCCCTCTCATTTGGTGGTGTTTAGAGCTGGAATCATGACCTGAAAACTTTTGTTTTGGAATCAACATAGAACATTCTTGCAGATTACTGCTTCCCCATGCATTATAATCAGGCAAAGCGTTCTTCTTACTCTAGCTTTTAATCTTCAAAACTTCAAAAGCAATGCTCAAATCAAAGGCACACAGGCTCTAGGTAACGACAATCCCTAGCAAAATAACTCCAACCCCAAATCCAAGAGTCTATCTCTTATCAGCTCAGCCCAAACATGTAGCTGATAAGTTGAGCTATGGTAAAATCAACCTAAATTTAACAATATTTCCTCAGCTTTTAGCTCATATTCAACAATAAATTTCTACAAAGCCAGTTGTCATGACAGCAGACATATTAATTTCTAAAATGTTATAAAATGAAGTAAATTGTCATTACTCGGTTAGAAGGCTATTGCAGCTTCAAGAATTAATTGGGAATAAGCTTTTCATAATAATATTATGTGAGATGTCATAGAATACCATGTAAGGATAGTATGAATGTGCTTTTTCTTAAAACAGCCTCCTTGTGTCCTGCAAACTAAGCAGAAATATATCCAATCTTTATCAAAGCTAATCTTAAATGTTCAATATCCTCACTACAAATCATGTGACTTTGGCAATGTACAGAAATTTCCCAATCGATGACAAAAAGAACCTCAGCCTTTTCCTCATTTCGATCAGCATGCCAAGAGTACAAACCGTGCGACATAAATAAAAAGAAATAAGAACCCCATGAGACTAAGTCATTATCACAAACACAGACCAAGAAACATTTCAAAATATAAAGAAACCACAAATACAGTTAAGGTAGAAAAACAGGTAAACTTGACTTCACTAATTTAAGAAAAGAACATGCAGAATATTGTATCCAGAGCTTCTACAAGCAAATTCAAGCAATTGCATGCGAATTGACATATAATAAAAGAATAACAGCTGCAAGCAGTGCATTACATTATCAAAGCTCTCAAGATGATGATACCTTGGCATCTTTAATGCAGGGCGATGCAAGCCAAGCTCATTCTTCACTCCAAGTGGATTGCGATGCAAGCCAAGCTCATCCTTCACTCCAAGTGGATTGCTAGTCTCAGCTCTCAATCCTAATTCTCCAACTGACAAGAGATTTATTAGTAAACCATAAACCTGAAAATTTGATTGTTGGTCCATCTGCTTTGAGCACCTTTCCACTGGATAATCTCCAAACTTCCAACAAAGCTTCCACACCAAAAAGTGAATCACAAGCAGCCAACAATGACCACCAAGATCCTGAAGGCAATGATCAGTCATTTCCTCATGCCTACCAGCCAATGCAAATCATGGGAACACCACAAGTTATGTGCCGAACCCCTTTCCCTCTCTTCTTAACTGTGCTAGCTTAGTGTTGCATTTAATATGAAATTATTACAATAAGAACGGCTAAAAATATCAAATGTGTTTATGCTGCAATTTGCTTTATGAGGTCCGTGGTTTTCTTTGGTATGATAACAATTTTAACCTTTCTGTCCATGGTCTTTATGGAATGATAATAACTTTACTTTATGATAATAACTTTACTTTCACACTACATAAAGAGAGATTTGAATTATTCAAGAATAATAGCACAAGCCCCTTCAAATAAGAATCAGATGCAATGACCTTGAAAATCATCATGAAAGGCCACTCTCCAAATTTCCAGCATCCACACGAGTTAATAGTGCTTCAATAATATTATAAGCAGTAATTCGCATGAATGTATGGTTTCCTTGTGTTCATGCAGTTGGAATCAGGCTTTTGTGAGTCCACTAGCCGAGTATTTCCTACTTCAAAACAAGGAAGAATTTCCTTTGTAACCTTTCTTCTCAGAACATGGAAACCTTTTGATATCCCTGCATAGCAGCTTCTTTCTCCTAGTAAAATTTGTGACGTTCCTCTCTCAAAGAGCTATTGCAACGTTTTGGGAAGTAGAAAGGATCTTTTTCATTTGGTGGCATCTAAAGCTGGCATCATGTTTTGTGAAGCTTTAGTTTTGGAATCAGCCAAGAATTATGTTTACTACAGATTACATAGTACAAATCACTGCTTCCATATGTATTAAAAATCATGTAAATACTTTTTTACACTTGCATGCGTTAGGGATCACAGACATTTGGTCCATTAAGATTTTAAAAGCAATTCTCAAATCAAAGGCACTTAGGCTCACGGTAATATCAATCCCTAGCAGGACAAATCTGACCCAAGTCCAAGAATCTATATTGTCAATTTAAACATGCAGGGCCTCTTCCATAGATTTTCATCATGATTTAACCAGAAAATCATGAGTAAAGTGTGCCAGGTCCTAGCCTTAATTTACTCACATTTTTAAAATTATCATACTAGAATCTTTTAAATTAGAATATGAATTTGTTTCAATTTCTCTATTAGCCAAGTAGAATTCTAGGACTATGGAAAATATTATGAAAAACTGATGGGGACTTTCTATCAAGTCATGGGAGGATAAGACAACCTTGAATATGCTCTTATGGAGGCCCAAGCAACCTTGAATATGCTCAAAAACTATCTATTTATCTTTTTTCCAATTAGATATTTGTAATCAATTTCTTTTAATTCAATAAAATTGCTATTGTTATCAATCTGAATTATTAGATTTGTTATAATTAATATTAGAGCAGTAGATCTATGGCAAAAAGGACAAGGATGTTATGATTTATTAAAGCGATTGCAGCCATGAAGGGCAGCAGGAGCATCAACTACACCAACAAACTCAGCAAAAAAATTTGGAAGAACTAGAGAAACAACTTCAAAACATGTCAGCTAAAGAATTCTAGGCTATGAAAAAATCATGGAAAAACTTATGGGCACTTTCTATTAAGTTATGGGAGGATAAGGCAACCTTGAATATGCTTTTATAGAGACACGGGCAACCTTGAATATGCTCAGAAACCATCTTTTATCTTTTTTTCAATTGGGTTGTTGTAGTCAATTTCTTTTAATTTCAATAAAATTGCTATTGTTATCAACCTGAATTATCAAATTTGTTACATATAGATAAAGATACTGAGCAATAAACAAAGAGAAAGAAAAAAGAAAAAAAAAAAGAGTATACACCGCGATAACAGGTTATTGCAGCCACAGGCATGAACATCATAATTAAAAATGATATATATATAGAGTAACCATGAAATAATATTTGAGTCAGAAGTCAGAAGAGACACAAGTTACTATCCTTCAAAAATCAATATAATTTAAACACTGATAACACAAAATTAGGAAAAGAACATACAGATTTCCAGTACTTCTACAAGCAATAACACCAACTGCGAGCAAATTGACATACACTATAACTTCAAATGAAAAAATACCAGTAGCTTGCGGTAGACTACATTATCAAAGCTCTCAAGATGTTGTTGATACCCTGACAGCTTTAAATGCAGGGTGAAGCAAGCCAAGCTCATCCTTCACTTCAAGTGGATTGGTAGTCTCATTTCTCACTCTCCTAACTCTCCGACTAGCCAGCGATTTATGAGTAAACCCATAAATCTGCAGAATTTGATTGTCCCCAAAATTAAACGCCCGATCCATCTGCTTCAAACACCTCTCCACTGAATAATCTCCGAACTTCCCACATGGTTTGCACCCCACAAAGTGAGTGACAAGCGGCCAACGGTGATCACCCAGACCTGGGCGATAATTCTCAATCATTTCCTCATATCTATCAACCAAGATCCCCCAATAACCATGCAAATAATAAGCATTCTCTAAATACACTTTATCACCCCACTTATCCCTTTGTGTAGCCAATAAATAAACCATTGCAGACTGATCATCCGCTTCGAAAACCGGCCTATTCTTAAGTTCCCTGGTAAGCACCTTCCCTGCTTCATCTCTAATCTTCCCTTTCGGTCCCATTGGTGACCACGCATCCAAAAGATCCAAAGACCATTGACAATTCCTCAGCAAAAAACTCCCAGTATTCAATCCAATCCAATTCTTTTCATCATAAACCATCTCATTCCACCCGTGCATTACAAAATTCGAATCCTTATACCTCTCCCACGGCACCTCAAAAGCCATATCTGTAAACATAGCATCACTATCCATCCACCACAAGAACTCAACCTCCGGATGCGAAAGCAATAACTTCCTAATCAAAGGCAATTTCGCCCAAAACCCAGCCATTTCCGCATCAAGCAATGCCATGTTATAAAATATCTCTATTCCATGGAGTCTACAATAATCTATCTTATTTTTTATAGATTTTAACAAGTAATGATCCCCTACCGGATTCTCACAAGGTTTCGGCGACGATCCTGTAACTAACAAAACACGCGGTTTGTTAGGCTTAATAAAATTGCTAAAACTAGGGTTTTCACTCAACCATTTCTCTCGCAGTTGATTCCAATCGGATATTTTCGGACCCAAACTGTACGGTTTATTCGGATCCGGCTTCTCATCTTCCCCTTCATCGACCAAAATCTTGCTGATATCAAATGTGGCATAATTATTCGCACCATCAGCATTACTTGCTTCGTCGTTCTTGTTGTTGTTGGGCTGGTTAGACTCGGTGAGAACTCGGTGTGGCTCGCCGTGTTTGCGAGCGGCGTAGAAGTGGTTTTTGAGGTCGTTGAAGTCTTGTTCTGGCGTACCGAACTTGCCGGCGCCGATTGTGCCACGCAGGACAACCACGGTCATGCAGAGGCAGAGAAGTGTGATTTTTCCGTGGCGGATAGCTCTTTGGATCTGGCGGACTCGGTGAGTCCCGATGCACCGGTCCAGCATTTTGACTCGGACTGGGTTGGAAAGAGAAAGTAAGGATGGGTCTTGCGTGTTGAGACAGAGGTTTGCTTATGAAGAGGGTGTGCTTGTAAATAAAAGGACGTTTTAAGGGTGATTTAAAAGTAAATTTAGTCGGTGACGCTGAGCAAGGAAAGAAGGAAGGGAATATCCAGTGAGGAAAAAAAAAACAATTTGAAATTATTATTTATTTGATTTGATTAGCTTTTCTATTTTTTAAGAAAATAATTGTGATTGGTTGCCCGAATGCACGTTTGAGGAATCATGTGATGAGATGGGCGCATGCATTGTTTATGGTAAGGCACCTCTTCATGGAAAAAGATTTATATTTATTTGTTTGAAACAATGTCTAGCAATTCTATATTTAAAAAATTAGTCATTTGTTGTTTAAATCAATAAATACATAATCCAATTAATTATTGTGTTTTATAACATTTAAAAACTCAATTCATTGTAATTAAGAGCTGAATTGAGATGAGTCAATATTAATGATTCGATTAATTTAAAGAAAATCTAATAAAAATAATTGATTTAAAAAAAAAATTATTTTTTATTAAATAAATCAATTGGATTGATTCGGGTTAATTTCAATCAACCCATCTAATCTATAATTCAAAATTTATACACTAATTAACTAGTTTAAAAACTATATTTTATAGAAAGAAAAATCACATATTTATTTGTTAACCCATCTTTCATTTATAATAATAAAATTAACAAGAAGAAATATGGTGTCATTAGATTTGATATAACTATCTATATAATGAACCTAACTAGGAACTAATGAAAAGAGAGAAAATAAGATTTTTTTATAAATAAAACCTTTAAACCCGGAGTATGTTTATTTTATTATTTATATCTTTGCTTAAACTAATTAAGAATTATGATAATAAGGTTTAATGTAAGATACATAATGAAGTAAAGCCATAAAATGATAAGAAGATTTGTCTCATGCATTAGATCAAGCCTATCAAGTCTCTTAAATTATTTCATTTACTATTTTACTATTTTTCAATTAAGCCAATTACTAATAGGAAATCATATAATATAATTTTTGTATTAATTTCTTAGAAATTAAGAGTTTAAAAAGAATATAAATTGAGGATATATAACATATTATGTATATTTATTTTAAAATGAATTTGTTTTTTTTATTCTATCATGGTGATTTTTTTTTTCAAATGTCCAGCCAATAAGTAATATACTAACATTAACTTATGAATGCATGTCTCTGGTTTGGATAGATATATTATAACATGTGTTTTTAGCTCATAAGAAATTTTGAGATTCAAATTATATGAAACAATTTTTACCTAATACATTTCATTTAGTATTAAATTTTATATTATTTGTATTCAAATATAATAACAATAACAATAATAATAATATCAATTAGCCTATGATTTCAATGAGATTACCATATAAAATATTGGTTAATATAGTGGAAAAAAATGTTTATTTATAAATAATAAATTCAAATTTAAAAAATTCTAAAATTTCTTAAAAGATTTTATTCAATGTACCTAAACACAATAACTCT